CGCTGTCGTTGACATCCCATCCGTTGTCCGCGTAATCCGTGACCGAAATCCTCACAAACAGTGGCATTGATTTGGGGATCACTTCCCGCACCCGACGGGCCGTCTCTAAGCCGAAGCGCATTCGGTTCTCGAGTGAACCGCCGTAGTTATCAGTCCGTTGATTAGACTTAGGAGACAGCCATGTGCTTCCCAGATAACCATGGGCGTAATGTAATTCAATTATCTATATGAACAATTAATAAATATTAAATACAACAATTTATAATCATGTACCGGCGCTATTAACTCATACCTCAAAGCCTGCCTTAACAGAGCGGACGGCCGCCGACACAAACGCCTGTTGCAGTACTTCTATGTCCTCAAGTGTTGCCTCTTTGGGCACTTTATCAATATCACCTCCAAATGCTATAGCACTGGGGGCTATGGTGGGCCAACCACCCTGATCATCCGGCAATGATCGCTTGTTAGAGTTGGACCACATTACAGGTGTACTAGCTTTACGACCCGCGTGGGCCAGTTGTATAGCTGGTACTGAACCCTGCGATTTAATAAGCTTGGTGATACGCCGCCACGCGTCCACTTGAACATCGTTCCAGATACCAGTGTCAGCCGGTGTGATGCGGCCCCGGGGCTCCACTGAAGTGGCCTCAACCATAATCAGTCCGGCACCACCCAGGGCAAATTGGCCATAGTGAGCTATGTGAAAGTCATTAGGTATACCATTCACGGCTTGCCACGTGACCATAGGTGACACTCCTATACGGTTTTTGAGTGTTACCCCGTTCACTTTAATCAAGGAGAAAAGTAGTGATGGTTGTTTTTTATCTTGAACACTCATTGTAAGTTTGGCTATGCTGACTTTTATAAGATTTTATGAATAAGTTCAAATAATATTATAACTTTGTTATACAATTAACATTACTATTTATACCTGTTATAGGTATTGCACTAATTTTGTGCTTAACGCACTGTTTATGGTATTTCAACCATGTGATATAATTGCTTACGTTATTGAAATGTGCCCGTTGCATAATGTAATTAATAACTAATATTAAATGTCAAGTATTTATTAGTCTAGATTTTATAGTTACTTATCTAAAATACTTTTCAGTGCTTTAAGAGTGCATTTTCTATGGTTTGGAAAAATAATTTATCATGTGTTACTAGAGTGACCAACTATAACTTTTATAAAAAGTATTTAATATGTTATATTTATTAAATATTAGGGTTGGAAAATTACAAGGATTTTTTTGAGGTTAAATTTTTAAATTTTAATAGTTGCAAAATATACAAAATTGCAAAAAGCTTTTTTGGTTGCAGTGTATATATAGAAAGTACATTTTCTAATATTTAGTACATAATGTAACAGGTTCACTATAAAGAAATCAGTGTTTTAGTATAACTGGATTAATTGGCATTGAATTTTGTTATCACCACTTGTGTAACTTATATAAGTTATGCGTTAGTTTTGTACAGTACTTGAAATCCATATGCCAGGAGTATTAAGTAATACTAAATTTTTAACTTAACTGATTAATTACTTAAATTTTCATGTATATGACTGTAATAAACAAATGCAGTAATTTATTTTAAACTTACTTGCAGTTAATTTTTCATATAAATAAATCAATAAATCTTATGATATTTTAGAATAAAATAAATTGAAAAATTATTGTAATGAAAATATATAAGATTTTATTTTATATTAAATAATACTTTAAATCTTTGATATTTGGTATTTTAATATTTGAAAATTTTAATTATAAATTAACAATTAATTAATTAAATCAATTATTATTTTGATCTTTAATTAAATCTTGCCTCCATTTGAAAAATCCTTTCCAACCGATACACCAGTCATAGGAATCGGGATATTTGAAGGTGTGTTCGGTGGCCAAGAGGTCAGCGGCAGTGTATGGCCAGTGAGGGTTGTTTAGCATCGCTCGACCTATGAATATAAATGTTGCGCTGTCCGACTTCAACAGCCCCTCGGCTTTCAAGGGGTCAATGATTTTACAGACAGCTGTAGTAGGAATATCGGCCTCGCGTTGGATTTGAGCCGAGGCCTTGTGCTGTACGTCAGGTGTAATAAAAGACCCGTAATTAATACCGTCGACGACACCCCCGGAGCTACAGTCGACGACATCGACGCCCACAGCCTTTAACTGTTTGGCAAACTCTACGCTGTCGTTGACATCCCATCCGTTGTCCGCGTAATCCGTGACCGAAATCCTCACAAACAGTGGCATTGATTTGGGGATCACTTCTCGCACCCGACGGGCCGTCTCTAAACCGAAACGCATTCGGTTTTCTAGTGAACCGCCGTATCTGTCGGTGCGTTGATTACTGGCCGGCGATAAAAACATGTTTACTAAATATCCATGAGCGTAGTGCAGTTCAATCACCTATTAATTATAACCCACATTAATTATAATGTACAGAATTTTAAATATTGGATATAAAGTACAACATATTAGGTACAGTATATTTATAACCATTACCTCAAAGCCTGCCTTAACAGACCGGACGGCCGCCGACACAAACGCCTGTTGCAGTACTTCTATGTCCTCAAGTGTGGCCTCTTTGGGCACTTTCCATACATCGCCTCCAAAAGCAATAGGACTGGCTGAAATAGTTGGCCACCCACCTTGGTCATCCGGCATTGAGACCTTGGTGTTAGCCCACATTATCGGTGTACTGGCTTTACGTCCCGCGTGAGCCAGTTGTATGGCCGGCACAGCTCCCAGCGATTTGAGGAGAGTTGTGATTCGACGCCAACCCTCCACCTGTTCATCATTCCAGATACCGGTGTCGGCCGGTGTGATTCGCCCCCTGGGCTCTATAGAGGTTGACTCTACCATAACTAGTCCGGCACCACCCAGGGCAAATGAACCATAGTGAGCTATGTGAAAGTCATTAGGCACACCGTCCACGGCTTGCCACGTGACCATTGGCGACACACCGACGCGATTTTTAAAAGTTACCCCTTTTATGGTCACCGGTGAGAACAGTATGGATTGTTTCGTTTTATCATGGGCACTCATTGTAAATTTTAATTAGCTAATTGTTTTATTATAATAATTTATAAAAATAATGTCATTTTTTGTTCTTTATATACTCGCAGAATAATACAAATTTAAAGATTTAGTACTCTAAATCAACCTAACTTAAAGTTTGTTAAATTGTACTAATTATGCTACGTTGATATGGAATTTATTAAATAAGCCTGTTGTATTACTAATTTAGTTGCTGCTTAGATAATAAAGCATTTTAATACTTTTGCAACCTATTCCGTACAATTGAATAGTTATCTTAATAAATTATTTGCCATAATCTCAACTAGTATTGTGGTGAGCACATTCAAATACCTTATCAACTTTATAATGCCATTGTGTAATGGTATTGCAAATTGCCTAACCTACTCTGGACAAGTGTACCCATTAAAATACTACTCTTTATCATTATATGGCAATCAATAAGTCCGCTTTTAGTTCACTATTTCAATAAAGAGTATCTTGTTGAATCAAACAATTTTTGTAATATTTATTAATTTTTATTTAATATAATTCTTATAATAACTATTTTATTAATTTTAAGAAAGCATAGATTTTCAAAATTCATAATTTTTTAATTAATCTGCTTATTAATATATACTGTATATTTATTAAAAATGATAATTATAACTAGATTTATGAGAATTAATTTTATGTTGATAATATTGTTATAAGGTATGACATACCTGGACACTATTCCCTTGGTCTTAGGCCACATTCAACCGACGGCACACCAGAAACACACATTACAAACACTATTACATTAGGCCTTTATTTCATATGTATTTCATATTTCATAAAGTGCCGTAATTATAGGCGATTACAAACTAAATAACTACTGTAAGTACAAGTGTACTTTTAATGGAGATCGCCATTTAATTTAAAAACATTATACACATTGAAAACATAAAACACTTATGAAAAATTAAAAGTACGATTGTACTTAAAGTTTAAATTCAGTAATTTGAAACCAAATTACTGATCTCATTGATAATAATGGGAATAAATGG